TCAGGTGTCCCTTATCTTACCAGAATGAAATGTGTTCTTCATGTTGTTTTGATGAACTTTAGTCATAAGTAAACTCAGTTTTGTATAATTGATTGTAAAGTTTCGAATCAATCCAACATTTTGAATCCCATAGCTTTTGTGTTCAATTAGACCTTGTTAGCTGATGCTCAGTTGGAAGTTTCCTGCTTGCAGTGTTAATATTTAAAATGTTGTCTTTTTTCGATGGAGTTTGTTAAAAGGACACAATGAAAAATATAATTCGCTTGTGAGATTGTTTAATTCCCATTAAAATCTGAGATCCTACTTTCAACTGCAGCCTGCGAAGGTTTCAGCAGTGCACATGTTTACGGAGGTCTGCTGTGTCTGCATCCTGGTCCTTCACCACTGATTGGAGGTACCTGTCAGAAAGGTTTTTAAGTTTTTAATCTATTGCTCACATATAATAAAATAAACTCACATATAATAAAATAAACAAGTTAGATACCGGTACTCTTTTCAGTGTGCATTTTACATGAATCTGTAAGGTGTTTTTAACGAATGAAATTTCGCTTCAGAGACTAAAAATCCGAACTTAACTGGAATAGAGTGGTTCAAATTTCAGGTACACTCTGCAAATTCCCTCTCAGATGTCAATAAAAGATTCATATTGTTTCAAAATGCTCTCTTTGTAACCCTTTCTGCTACAAAAAGGGGAACTTTGCATAAAAAAACACTTCATAATAACCCATCTTTTTCCATTTTACTGTTGGAGCATAGTTTTAGATGTCCATTAGTATTATTATGAACTGAATTTATGAATAGCATTACTGATTTTTATCAACACATTGAGACTTTTGCACACGCTTTTTAGTGTTGAACACCCAGGAAGGTTATTTCATGTGCCACCATTTACCCATCATTTACTACCTTGGTCATCATGTGCATTCCCAAGTCTAAGTCTGTAAAGTTTGGCATAAAATATTCAAGGAACAAAATATTGGCATGCTCTTAAAATCCAGTCTTTTTTTTTTTTTTCTCAGCATGCACATCTTGTTTTTATTGTTTCCTCAAACTTAAACAGTGTTGGAAAGATATGGTACAATCAGACTGCAATAGAAAGTGTGAAATGCTTTTTGATTTGAGATGTATCTGCCTTTACTCTGTGTTTTAATGCTTCTTAAGACCTTTGAGCACAGATACTTTATGTGTGGTTTACAGCAGAACTTGTGGTCAATTAAAACACACAGAAACTTATTATATACTCGTTCATCTTGCACATCATACATTTCTGAATTCATCTTATGATTTTTGAATACCATAACTCTGGTTTTATCAAAATTTGATGATAGCATGCAAGTGTCATTTCTTCTTAACCACCTCTAAAAACTGCTGCAGATCATCCCCAGAACATCAAATATTTGTGTTGTCTACAAAAGCAATGGATTTCATTAAACCAGACATTTTCCATTTATATCAATGATGTACAAAATAAACACTTTGACTGACTCCTGTTAGAACATTAAGTGATTCCTAATCATGATCAGCAATATCTATAAACGGTGGGACCTCTTGGACCTCCATAAGTGCATTTGCAGTGGTCTGTTTGACTTCCGTTTTGTTTTTGGAAAATAAGGGCATCTCACCAGCAAAACTTGCTCTTCGTTGTGTCTTTTTCATAAACTCCTACAGTAAAATATCTATAAACTGTGCCAGAAGAAGAAGTGGGTTATGAGACTTTATGGGGGATTTATGGTTTTTTTCATTGCCTGGACTTTGGACCTTACTGTGAGACTGCATTGGGAGTGCTCTTCCTTGATGTACACACAATGGTGCACTTGACCTGTGCATGGAGATTAAATAACTGCAAAAATGTGTCTTCTATCTCACTGAGTTATTTATTCTTTGGAGCCCACACTGGGTCACGTATATATAAGAGTAAAATTTCAGCCTTGAATAGTGGAAACAAACAGAACTGAAAACCTCTAATGGGATCTACAGAACATGAGTTTAGTTTTGGTGTATTGTTTTGCATCTAAAATGCACCAACTATGTTCACACACCTCCAGCTGTCTCTGTGTGTGTGGGTTAGTGTTGGCTTAAAGCAGGTTTGGTCATAAAACTTCCACCTGGAGACACACCTCCACCCACAGATCAGCAGATTTATGCCAGTGTACATGTGTGTGCTGGTGTGCACCTGTTTGTGTGTGTGTTTACAGTGTGCCACGTGTCCTTAGAGCAGCAGGTAAGAGTGAAATCGGGAGTGATGCAAGAGTGGCTGTGGGCGGGACAACAACAGTGATGTAACAGACAGCAGTTTCTCTGGTGGCGGAGGTTGGTGTGATTTGGGTCAAGGTAATAGCCTACTCGTAGGCTGAGGCACAAAGTAGGTTTGTTTTTGTTTCAGGTGTTGTAGCATTTTCCCTCTCTGTGGTTTGGGTGAAACAGGCTGCACAAACAGGTAAAGGTGCTATCTGGCAGAGACTCAACTTTGAGGAAGAGAGGAGATAAGATGGTCTCGTCTGAACTTGATGCCAATGAAAAAAACCCTCAGTTTCTAAGGGTTGGAAAATCTTCACTGAGCCTATCCTAAATATATTTAGAGCAGGAATGTGCACATGATTATAGAGGGGCAAGGGCTCAAAGTCAAAAAAGGGCAGCATGTGCACACGCAGATCGCGTGCCAAAGTTTTTTTTTTTTGGTTCTTTACACAATATCGAAATTAATGTAAAATAAAAAAAAAAAACAAAGTACAATGAGAAAGCTAACCACTTGGCTGTGCATCCTGTGTAGGAGAAAGTGATATGCAATTGCCACTTCTTTTGTGTCAACAACAAATTACTGTCAGCATGGCATGAATCAAGTTTACAGATGGTAATATTTCAAACACAAATAACCTACAGCTTATATCCCCATGTATATATATATATATATATATATATATATATATATATATATGTATATATACAGTATATATATATATATATATATTTCAGACCCAATAGGTTCATGTCATACTAAACATTATTATGATTATCCTTTTGTCTGGTGTTTTATTTTGTACATGATTTCCTATCCCGCATGGTCTGCTTTGTGCTAAATTGATCAGCCATGCTCCGACGTCTGGCAAAAAGAGAAGCTGACACACTGAGTAAAATAGTGTTTTTCAGAAATATTACCCATATTAAGCTTGTTTGAATAAGTGGATGGCGACTAGTTTAACCATAACCCACAGGTTCAAGTTGCTCCACTTTCACGTCTCCACAGTTATCAACGTCTCTCTCTCTCTCTCTCTCTCTCTCTCTCTCTCAAGGGCTCAAGTGCCATAAAAAAGTCTGATATGATACAACGCAGTGAATGTACATGCTAAGATTTAATATGATGCAAAAGGAAGGAGCAATACATTACAATGCATTGCAGGAACTTGCACTGCAACAGGTGGCATTTCAAAAGGATCGGACGTGATAGAAGGACATGCTATGAAACAATAAAATACAGAAGAAAGTCAAGAGAGTGCAACACACAATCCTCTAAAAGGTTGTGATTCAATACAATGCAGAATGATTTGATAGAATCCAGTATGGTCTAAAAACAATATGGTATGATCAGCTACAATATGATAATATTCAGTATAATGTGGTACCGTGAAGTTCAATATGGTAGGATACAATACAATATGATTGGTGAGATATGATACCGTACAATATGATACAAGATCATACAGTACATCGAGATCTGATCCAATCTATGATAAAATGGTATGATATGATACCTGAAAGTGTGTTGTAATAAGATGTAATATGGTACATTACTTTACAATATAATATAATACAGCATGACCAGATATGATACAATATAATCAGTATTATATAACTCAGTATGATACAATACCATGCATAATGATACAGTGTAATACATTTTCGTTTGATATGATACAATGTGGTATGATATGAGTTGATGTAATATGGTCAGATAAAATTCAATACATTATGATATTATGCAGTTTGAAACACATCCAGGTACCTTTGACATGACACATACATTATGATGCTTGGAGTCTGATCTGATGCTATCTGATCGGAAAAAAAAAGAGTGGGTAACATTCAATCAGAACCATTAATTAAAGGTGATTCACGAGGATCATTCCTGGGTCCTGTTTACTTTCTCTATTAATGACATTGTCTCCTCCATAACTAACTGTCATACCCGCCTTTATGCCATTGGCACTGTTTTGTATTGCCGTGCTGACTCCGCACACTGTGCTGTTGAGAAATTGTAGTTGAGTTTTAAAGCCCTACAGAAAGCACCTGTTAGTCTGAAGTTGGTACTTGATGCAAGCAAAACTAAATTCACTGAGTCACAGCATAGAAGAAGGCACAGGGGAGTGATAAGCACTTGTTTCTTTTCAATTGGTATTAACTGAAGGTAAATGTGTGTTATCTCTCTCCTTGACCTTATCCTCAGTCTGTACTAGGTGAGAAAGCATGGATTAAACCATACTGAGATTCTTCCCTCCCACCTGTTTATTTCCTTCAAATTCAAAAATAATTTCTTGGTTTTGCAAGACATAAAATAAAATAAAGATAGATAGCTGTATTTGGTATTCTGTATAGACACGGAGTCACTATGAAGAGACAGAGACTGCCTGCAGCAGTAAAATCACCAGACAGATGTAAACCAAGAGCATAAAAATGAACTTTGATTCTTCCCTCGTGTTTCAGAGTCAATAAACATACATGAGTGCTGCTGCCTGACCGGCTCACAAAGCTATCAGGTGTTTTTCCTTCCCGGGCGAGACTCACATAATGAGGGAGGGTAATCATTAAACCAGTTTTCTCACTACTGAGGGATTCCCTCACGCTTGTCTCTGCCAGGTTTCGAGGGATTCCCTCTCTGAAGTATGTCCTCCGTCATTCCTCCCTGTCGTTGCGGGGTGGAGCTCAGCTGGTCTGGAGTTCCCACTCTCATCTTCAGTGTGTGGGAGTTTTGGACTATATGAGGAGCAGAGAGCCTGGTCCTGTAGATGCTCACAGGGAACAGCATGAACACACAACAGGCAGCACAGAAGGAGGCTCTGATGGAGGCCGGACGGGGGTCATCTGCAGACCAGGGATGCTCCAGGTGCTCTGTGGTTCTGTCGGTTCTGTTGGCTGTGATGGGATTGGCCATCTTGGCTCTGGTGGCATGGTTCATCCTGTATGCATCTGTATTCACACCAGCATGCGGACAGGTGAGAAAACTTAATGCAATGAGACAAATACTGTTAAAAATACCTGACATCTCTGTAACAAGTCAGGTGTCAATCATCTGTCTGTCTTTGTACCTTACTGGTACTGGGCAAATGCTATTATAGTAGTTTCATATAGAGTGGGCTGTATGTTAAGTAACAAGCTTTCAGATTGATTATGACTTAAAAAAAAGTTTAAAAAATGAAGGTAACACTTGTAACACTTACAAAGTTTCATCTGATTCAGGAAAGAAATATTTTAGATCTTCTGCTTCTTTTGTCTGAAACAAAGTGAAGATTTATTCTAAATTCATCCAAAACTTATTCACAGTGTTTGTTTTCACCGCCTTAGATCCTGCAATTACATACAAGCACATAGCATTTTGGCTTTGCTGCACCGTAAAACTTAATTCTGCTGGACTGAAACTGACTGCAAAAGCAAATTTACATAAATTAATGATCATCTAAGGTAGCATGTAATATTTACTAGAGTTGTACACCTCATTCCCACTTACTTACTGTGTGTGCACTGTGGCAAGTCAAGTAATTTTAAAGTATATGTATTGTATCATCTTATATATTGTAGTATTATCAAAAATTATAGGATTATGCAATTAAAGTGGTCAAAGCATGTTACTCTGTGTTTTATTTGTTATTACATACCTGCTTATCTCACACTGTAAAACACAAGTCAGCACGGTGCCCCTTGTTTCTCCTGTGAGTCATTGTGGAGTAAATTTCTCTAACGTCTGATCATGCCTTCCTCCTGCTGATAAACAAACACCGTCCGTGCATTCACATTTTCTGCATAATAGTCAAATAAGTGCTAATCATTTTATAATTATTGAGCAAACAGTGGCAGCTTTAGATCCTGTTTTCTCTGGACTGCCGTGTGGCTGTGTGTGTGTGTCTGTGTGTTTAATACACTGTGGATCTGAGTGATATATTTTTGCTAAAATATAGTTATACACTTTGATTACCTTCATCAGAGAAAAGAGCAACATGTAGTCTCTGTGGTTTCGATCTGTAAAGCAATGCACTTCCTTGTGTTATAAACTTAAGATACCATTCGTTTATTTACAAATCTCCAGTCACCATGCACATAAGTAAGAGAGGAATATGTTTCTGTGGTAACAGCCCCTTGGCTTTCCACTGTGACTTTTATATCACGACAAAATGTCTGCTGAGTAAAAACAGCAAGTAATCATTCTGTCTATTTGTGTCTACAGGAAGCTTCAACGCGAAACAATACAGGGAAAATCAACCTGTCCTCCAAACTAACTAAACCAAGTAAGACTTAGAAATTTGACTCCATGTTTCTATATCTGAGCCTGGTGAAGAAACTCAGCCCTGTGTGTTTCTCCACAGTAAATGGTACAGAGGGCAGGTACGACATCTTCACTGTGAACAAATCAGCGAGCTACCTCATCTATGGCTGGGTGCAGCTAAAAGAACTCACCGGAGAGGAGGTGGTTCTCATGCAGATCCTGGGTGAGCAAAACAGAACCATCCAGAAGAGGAACGTCGATGAGGTGGAGATCTTCTTCCACAAGAGAGTCCTCATGGCTGAAGGTGTAAGGATAAGCATTTACTTTGATTCAGCTTACAAAGACAGCTTGTTCCACATGTATGAACTTTAACCTGCAGTCAGACACTCTCAATGTCAGACCTCATGCTGTATATGTATGCTCCTTAAGCTTTTATACACAGGTTTGAAAAAAAACAACAACAAAGAAACAATCAGAGCTGACGCATGAAGCTAGGGATGCAAAAAACTGCAGTTCTTCTTTTGTCCACTAGAGGCTGTCTCCTACAGTGAGCCAGCCCCCATAGAGCTTCATGTTAAAATGTCTAACTTTACAGCAGAAATAAACATGTTTACAGCCTGGTACAAAACAAATAAAAAAAAAACGTAATATTTATTTTAATATAACTTAACTATTTACAGAAGATTAAGGATCAAAGTGTAAGTGTATTTAGGGACAGGGCCCTTTCTAATGACACGTGGGACATGTTAGCTGTCACCTCAGCTGTTTCGGACACTAAACCTCTGGACTGTGTTTGTGTTGTTGGAGTCTTCTGGGTCTTTTTTCCCCTGTAAATAGAAAATTGTAAACACTGTAAATTTTTGGTCATCCGGATGTTGATATTTCTTAAGGTATGCTTTATGTTTTCTTATCTGATTGGTTTCACCTGGCTTTGTAAGTATACTCCAATATCTTCTGTAAAATAATGATAATTTTGGGGTGTCTTCTGTACTTCTATAGAGGAAGTATAAATGAGGTGAAAGTTGTTGATCTGAGAACAGGAACAATGAATATGTTAAAAGTGGATATATGTAAATATGTTTTGTAAAGACAATAAATTTTGATATTTGAGGAGAGTGTGCTGTTGTCTTTTTCTAATGATTCAAAATCTTATCATTATTTAACTTCTTTACAAGCCTACACAGAGGTGGTTAGTGCTGCTGCGTCGCACCGAGAAGGGTCCTGATTTAATCCCACCGTCTAAAAGCATGCTTAATTGGTTACTCTAGATTTAACTATAGGAGTGACTGAGAGTATCATTTGGTATTTGTCCCCATTTTTCAGTCTTGTAATTGATGCATCTGTCCAGGATGTACCCGGATGGAACAGATGGATGGGTGGATCATTGACATCAGGGTTCAGCCTGACATACCCTCCTTCTGACCCAACCATGATGTCAAAAAAACAACATAATCTGGAAACGATATTTCTAAACATTTTGTTATTTGTTGTATTATTTCCCGTTATTCTACCTGTCATTTAAAACTGAAAAAACACAATCCCATAAGACCATAACAAAAATAGAAGCAAAGGTCAGAGGTCAAATCAGTTGTTCCAAAAATCTTCCTGCCAACTTTCTGTAAAAACTGCACTGCTCACGGGCCGGTGGCAGGTTCATGGCAGTAAGCTCTGTGTGTTTCTGCAGCAACATTGTGCCACTCCTTCCTACAGAGAGGATTGGTTTCAGTGTTGGTTTCAGACTGTCCAGATCTAATCTTTCAAAAGCAAAGGTAAACAACGATTTTTAACATTTTATCAGTGATGATCAGTTGACCTCAAGATTTCATCAAAAGGCAGTTTTTTTTTTGTCTCAGTAGAGCAGTAAAAGTAACTCGAAAACTCCCTCTGGGAAATTTAGAAAGGGCTGCGGGGGCTACTGCAGGGGTGTATACATTATAATGAGATTCTTAAGAGATTTCAAATGATTGATACTATTAACACTACTATGTACTACTGTGATATTATATACAAGGAGCACACCTACAACAAACATTCCTTTAACTCTAATAATTGCTCTCGTTTTTTTCTTTTGCTTGTCTTATTCAACTTAAGTGCAACATTTTCCACAGTTTTTGTGAATTATGTCAGAAAAATATTCATAAACAGTTAAGAATAATAGCACTCCAATCCTGATCAAATTGCACATTTTGATATATAATTTGTCCTACAAGTCTTTAAGCTGTTGGACTAGTAGCAAATTTAAATTTGTCCCGAAGAGAAATAAGAAAAAGTCCACAGTATAACAATAGCTACTATTGTATATGTTAGAGTAATGTGTATAAAAGTTTATAGAAATTATCAGTAGTTATCAGTTATCAGTTATCAGTAAAGAGAGGAGACGGCAAGATACTCTTCAGAGCGGTAGGAGATTGTAACTGAACGTATCTCTGTCCGTTCTCCTCGCGAGTGAGAAATCTAATACCATTGTCTTTCTCTTCTTTGGGTTTGAGTCATTTGTTGCAGGTATACAGTATATGCAGGTTTACAGTATATAACATTATTGTATAGGGGCCTGCTGTAAAGTTTAAAGCGGCTCTATTATTTAGGGGCCAATGCCTTAGTGCATTTGCCCGTGGCCCTAATATGGATTCTGATTGAAGTTCAGCTTTTTATCGTTAATCCAATTTGTCTAGAAGTGATTCAATGATGCAGTGATGTCAGAGCAGTCCCTAAATAGTGAATAGTTATCAGCTGTGAGTCTGGACTGAGGCTCACACGTCACGATGATAGACATCACAGGCAAGTTATAAACAAGAGTCCCTTCTGCATCTCTCAGAAAACCTGTTTGGGCCTTTTATCATACATAGAAATCACAATGGAATTAATGATAGAAACTACAACGAAAATGATCTAAAAGCAAAATCCATCATGGCATCAGTATCGTTCATCTTGCCACACCTGCCACCTTGTCATGCCTCTGTGCCCCCCACACATTTTGGAAACCAATAAGCTATAGTAACCAGTCAGTGCAGGCTACAGAGATGCATCTTTCTGGTCTTAAAAGACAGTGGATAAAGAGCATGGACAGTTTCTATAAAGATGAACACTGCAGTAATTTATTGTGGAGTTTGGAGGTGATGGAATCTGCCTAAAATGCAGAAAAAAAAGGCTGCCACTTTGAAGGAACAAAATCTAGAGCATCATTACTGCACAGAACTTGAAGAACAGTATGATAGATCCATAACTTGTTCTTAAAGTTTTAAAGGAACACAAAAAATGATTAAAAACTGACTTTTGTCTTTCCTCAAGTTTGACCGAAACACAACAAAACTAAACAAAAAAAAACAGGACATAAAGAGTCAGAGTCAATAAGAATAGGAATAAGAATAAGAGTCTGGTCTGATATGAGAATCCTGCTTTACGTCATGAATACTGCAGCAATAATAGACAAAATTGGAGTCCCAGTTAAAAGAAGAATCCAATTTATTTGTCTATACATCCCCCTTTTAGCACTCAGCACTGTCAGAAACATAAAAACTGTCATCATAGAGCACATCTCTACTGCTTCATTACACTATGGCTTTACCTGTGGAATCTTGATATCATATCCTGCTTCCTAAGAAAGCCCCCCCCACACCCACCCACACCCACCCACCTTCACCCACACCTGCAGGGGGATTTCACGCAGTTTGTGCAGGACGTGTACAAACAGGCTACCTTGGAAATTTTTAAGTTTCAGCATATGTGCAGAAGAGATAAGCAAACCTGATCATCACTTGACCTGCATACTCATTCACCTGTACGCGGAAAATGCCATAATTCTCCACGTCCACATACAATTGAAGGCAGGTCTACGTGCTTTGAAGTCCTTTCTTTTGAATAGAAAATGAAAGAGCTCCTCCTCCACTCTCAACCCCTATCGCACCTGACTGACAGATCTTTGTCAGGTACGCCAGCCATGATTCCCTGCTTTGAATCAGACATCTGGCTGATTCCACAAGCATCTCATCACTTTATACCTTATCATTTGTTATTTGCTTAAGATTATTGCAGTGAGAACTCAAAAAGACCAGAGGGAGAAATGCTTCAATGAACCGTTAAACCATCTAAAACAAATCAAACAAGCTGCAGGTGTGAGAGCATGCTTACCTTTCTTATTTTTGTCATCATGCTAAAGTTTGCTAAAGCTACATTTTAAACAGCTTGACTCTGAGAGCCATTAATTATGTGATCACTCCTTCTTGAGTCATCATCGTCATAAATATTCCTGCAAATAATAGACCTGTTGACTTGGGGTGCATTATCATGAGTGTCATGAATGTCACATAGTGTCACAGCTTCCATTGGAACTGTTACTGCAAAGCCTGAATAGTTGTTGTTCCTGTTGTTCTTGTTTAGAGCTTAGCATGAGGCACAGCATGTGATTCCTATTACAATCCTGATGACTCCTCATTCCTTCTTTCTGTGGCAAGGGGGTGCTATTTTATTCAAAAATGGAGCATATCGTCTCCAACCAGCAACGCCACCTGGGGACTTGCACCCCATGAAACTGAACTTTCAAACTAAAACAGGAAGCTAAAATTAGAATAAAGGCAACACAGGTAAGTTCTGAAGAGGCAGAGACAGAGTTCAAAATATTTCAAAAATGTTTATTAGATCAAAAAAATGAAGTTAAACGTAAATATAACTGAGAAATTTAACCTAGGAGGGAAAGAAAGGGATAAAGTTAAAACAACATAACAAAACACAAATAAGGGGGCAAGAAAGTTAATTTTATTTCTATAATAAAATTTAAAACAAGGCCTTCTACAAAAGTTAAAAAGTACAATAACCCCAACTTAAACTAAATCAAAGAAACCCAAACTAAGTTAACTTAAAATAAGCTGAGGCCACCAGAAGGGAGGCAGACTACAGAGGGAAAGTGCAGGGGGGTGCTCCCTTATACTCACCAAGTGAAGCACAGCACACACACTGCAAACCTTCAACAAAAGAAACAAAATCGGTGTAGTCTTGTGACCCGGTGTCAAACTCATGCAAAGGTGGAGGGCCCTCACCCGGGGTGCCTAGCCTCCCAAACTAGTGGGCTCAACCTCTGAAATAAAATAAAAGGATTAACCAAAGAAACAAACAAACCAGCAACAGCGAACCCAGTTGGTAAAACTAGAGGGAACTAAGGAAAAAAGCAACTAAGGGTAACTAAGAACAGAATACAAACTAATGGGGGAGTAACTGGGTAAAACAACCAAACTTACAGGTAGAAACAAACCAAGTAAGGGGGGAAACCAATAAAAAGGGCAGAAACAAACAAAGTAAACAGGCAAAATAACTACAATTAATGGGGGCAACAAAACAGCAGCAGGTCTACCACCTACAAACAAAAAGGACATGCTGTT